ATTCTCCTTCTCTTTCTTCATTTTTATGTATTTATGTATGTATTTATTTTGAGATGGAGTCTTGCTCTGTCACCCAGGCTGGAGTGCAGTGGCATGATCTTGGCTCACTGAAACCTCTGCCTTTTGGGCTCAAGTGATTCTCCTTCCTCAGCCTCCTGAGTAGCTGGGACTACAAGCATGCACCACCACGCCCGGCTAATTTTTGTATATTTAGTAGAAACGGGGTTTCACCATGTTGGCCAGGCTTGTCTCGAACTCCTGACCTCAAGTGATCTTCCTGCCTCAGCCTCCCAAAGTGTTGGGATTACAGGTGTGAGCTACCATGCCCAGCCTCTTTCTTCATTCTTAGATTGTTTCTCACCTCTTTTTCTAAAAAAGAGGACCTGAGTTGTGGCCTACGGGGGTGTGTGTGTGTGTGTCTGTGTGTGTGTGTATGTGTCTGTGTCTGTCTGTGTGTGTTTGTGTGTATTAATGTGTTCTGATTGTGAGTGGGACTCCACAGTGTTTCACCACTGAGTCATTTCTGCCCTCTTACATGTTGCAATTTCTCTCACCAGAGGTCTATCACCTCCAAGAGCGCTCAAAATGCCTAGTGATCAGCTCTTATATGCATTTTCCGGACAAGGCCTTTTTAAACAAATTTTGTTGGTTCCTTGTAGGGCCACTTCACATTGTGGCGGGGGGGGGGGGCGAGGGGGCGGGGCGGTCAACCTTCAGACACTCCCACTCAGTCCCCAGTCACCCAGGGGTGCCGTTTGGCTGGGAGGGGCTAAATCCCCTTTCTTTTTGAAGCCAAGTAGCTCAGTCTCTCATTTGTCTATGCAAATTACAATTCAGTTCCTCATGCAAATGTGCAGACAAACCAACTGACCTTAATTTCAGGTGGAAAAAACAATGGAGAAGACCCTTTGAAATGCACCTCTGAACTGGAAACCAAATGGGATACCCAAAAGGGGGATGACTCTCTTTGTCTTTAGAAAAAGGCAATGGAGAAGACCTTTTAGAATGCACCTTCAAACTAGAATTAGGATGCTAAACAGCAACTTCCCAGGAGAAAATACTCAGCCCAGACTCCTTCCTGAAAACTATCCTCAGCCATCCCCTAACTTGGTAGCTCTCGCCTGCCATTACACACATCAAGGTCAAATTCTCGCAGTACAAGATAATCTCTGATTCCCCCAAACCCAAAGAGGTCAGTTAATGCAATACAAGACTTAAGAATCTACTCATGACTCTTGCAACTCCACAAAGAAAGCTGAACACCACAAAAGGGGCATGAATGGCACCTTTATTCTGAGTTCTTTAAGGTGTCTGAGTGTTAGAAGCCCTCTCTAGATTTTTAACTTTGTACTGAAGATGGCAAAATTGGAGGGAGGAATAGGGCAGAAGAAAAGTAATTGAAAGAACATTTTTTTTTTTAAAGAAAGGCAGTGAATGGAGAAACCAAGTACATGATTTGTTTTTGTTTTTGTTTTTATCCTACAGCTGTGAGGAATTTTAGCCAATTCGGAAGCCTTATTCCCCATAATTTGGAATTCTCATTTAGATTTGACCAAGTTGGGTAGAGTTGGCCAAATCCAATGGGAGAATAACCAAAACAAACAATGTAAGAAATGGTAAGAAATTAAAACCAGTTGGTTGTCAGTTTTAACATTTAGTCATTAAGGAGAACTTTCAAGACAGAAAAACTGAACTAAGCTGCTTATCTAGGAATGGGGCCCATGCATAAGACTGCTCTGTACTATTTTAGAAGCAGAAAAAACCTCAAACTCATCTTCCCTGTTGGCGGCGACCTGAAACTCCAGAGGGAGTTGCCTGCTTTCCATTGTTATGGAATCAGGAAAACTCACCTTCCTTGTTGGAAAAAAGTACAACTCCAGAAAAGGAGTCATACAACAAAATAAATCTCAGATTCTAATAAAATTTTGGGAGACCAGAGATTCTCTGTAGGAGGGCCTCCAAAGCCAGTAAATTTTTTCTATTAGATTGAGCAATAACGATAGCTCAAACTGTTACCAAGCATGGATAGGAGATTTGACAAAGGTCAGGGGAACCTCTACTCAGAGTTCCTTCATGGTTACCAGTTTGTAAAATAAAGAGTATCTAAGACAAGTCTCCATCAATTTAGAAGCTTATTTTGCCAAAGTTAAGGACATGCCCATGATACAGTCTCAGGAGGTCCTGACGACGTGTGCACAAGGTGGTTGGGCTACAACTGGTTTTATACATTTTAGGGAGACATAAAACATCGATCAATACTTGTAAAATGTACATTGGTTTTGTCTGGAAAGATGGGACAACTGGAAGTCTGGGCTTTCAGGTGATAGGTGGATTAAAAGATTGTCTGATTGGCAATTGTTTGAAAGAGTTATTATATGAAGACCTGGAATCAACAGAAAGGAGTGTCTGCATTATAATAAGGGGTTGTGGAGACCAAGGTTTTATCATGTAGATGAAGCCCCCAGGTAGCACACTTCAGAGAAAATAGATTGTAAATGTTTTTTTTTTTTATTAGACTTAAAGAGTCTGTTCTATCATTCTTAAGGTCCTTTGTTGATGTGTATGCTGGTCAGCTGTGAATCATGTCTTACACACCTCCCTCACTTCCCATCATGACCAAAACCAGTTTATCAGGTTGATTTTGGAATGCCTTCAGCTAAGAACAGGGGTCTGTTTAGATAGTTGGGGGGCTTAGAACTTTATTTTTGGTTTACACTTTTTCTTTTATTTTTTAATTTGTGTGAGTACAGAGTAGGTATACATATATATTTATGGAGTACATGAGATGTTTTCATATAGGCATTAAATGTAAAATAATCACAGCATGAAGAATGGGGCATCCATTTTCTCAAGCACTTATCTTTTGAGTTATAAACAATCCAATTACATCTATAGTCACCCTGTTGTGTTATCAAATAGTAGGTTTTATCCATTTTTTTCAATTTTTTCTTTTAGACAAACAGTTTTATTCGAAAAACAGAGCCAGCTGAGTCTCCCCCTTTCCACAGACCTGGCAGTGTTGGGCTCAGGTGTGAGAGGATCAGTTTCCTGCAGAGAGAAGACAGGTTTAGGGGTTGAAGGCCAGACCCAGGGGCTAGACCACATGAGTGGCCACACTGGGGCAGAGGCCACAGTGCCCATCAGGGCCTGGGTTCCACAGCTGCACATGGGGCAGTGCACAATAAGCTGAGGCCCCTGGAGGCTCTGGGTGCCAAATCTCACCCATGGCCATGGCCAAAGCTGGGGGTGATATTCAACCAATGCCAGTGACCCCAACCACTAGTGGGATGTGTGTGTCCAACTCTGCTGGACCTACGCGGGCAGAGAGACCATTCTTTTATTTTTGATTTTTGGTACTCATTAACAATTCTCACCTCCCTGCTAGCCCCCCACTACACTTCCCAGCCTCTGGTAACCATTCTTCTACCGTCTGTGTCCATGAAATCTATTTTTTTTTAACTTTTAGATCCCACAAATTAGTAAGAACATGTGAAGTTTGTCTTTATGTGCCTGGCTTATTTCATTAACATAATAATATTCAGTTTCATCCACGCTGTTACAAATTACATGATCTCATTTTTTTATGGTTGAATAGTACTCCATTGTGTATATGTATCACATTTTCCTTATCCATTCATCTATTGGTGGACATTTAGGTTGCTTCCAAATCTTAGCTATTTTAAAAAGTGCTGCAACAAACATAAGAGTGCAGATGTCTCTTCAATATATATATTTATTTTTTGGGTGGGGGTATATACCCGCAGTGGGGATATTGGATCATATGGTACCTCAAGTTTTAGTTTTGAGGACTCTCCAAACTGTTCTTCATAGTGGTTGTACATTTCCATTCCAAATGTAAATGTAAATTTCCATTTCCACCAATGGTGTACAAGGGTTCCCTTTTCTCCACATCCTCGTGAGCATTTTCTATTGCCTGACTTTTGGATAAAAGCCATTTTATCTGGGGTAAGATGATATCTCATTGTAGTTTTGATTCACATTTTTCTGATGATCCATGATGTTGAGCACATTTTCATGTCTGTTTGCCATTTGTATGTTTTCTTTGAGAAATGTCTATTCAAATCTTTTGTACTTTTTTTTTTTTTGAGATAATGTTTTACTCCTGTCTCCCATGCTGGAGTGCAATAGCATAATCTCGACTCACTGAAACCTCCACCTCCCAGGCTCAAGCAATTCTCCTGCCTCAGCCTCCTGAGCAGCTGGGACTACAGGTGTGTGCCACCATGCCTGGCTAATGTTTGTATTTTTTGTAGAGAGGGGGTCTCACTATGTTGCCCAGGCTGGGCTCAAACTCCTGAGCTCAAGTGATCCACCTTCTTCTTTTCCAATTTTGATGCCTTTTATATCTTTCTCTTGTTTGATTGCTTTTACTAGGAGTTCCAGTATTATGTTGAATAACAGTGGTGAAAATGGTATTATTGTCATGTTTAGATCTTAGAGAAAAGCCTTTCAGTTTTTCTCTATTCAGTAGGATACTAGCTGTGGGTCTGTCACATATGGCTTTTATTATGTTGACATTTATTTCTTCTATTCCTAGTTTTCGAGGGTTTTTATCATGAAGGGATGTTGAATTTTATCAATGTTTTTCAGGATCAATTAAAATGATCAGATTGTTTTTATCCTTCATTCTATTGATATGATGTATCACACTGATTGATTTGCACATATTTAACTCTCCTTGCATCCCAGGAATAAATGGTACTGGTCATGATCAATTATCTTTCTAATTTATTGTTGAAATCAGTTTGTTAGTATTTTGTTGAGGATTTTTGCATTAATATTCATCAGAGATATTAGCCTGTAGTTTCCTTTTTATGATGTGTCTTCGTCTGGTTTTGGTATCAGGGTACTACTGGCCTTGCAGAATGAGTTTGGAAGTGTTCCCTTGTGCTCTATTTTTTAAAAACTGGTTTGAGTAGTATTGGTATTAGTTTGGCATTATTGGTATTAGTTAGAAGTTTGGCAGAATTCAGCATGATAAAAGAGTCACTACGGCTCAGGACACAAGGCAGTGAGGTGCCAGGCCTGAGCCCCTGCTGGGGGAGAAGGAGGCTCGGGACAAAGTGGGAGAAGGGCTGGGAAGGGCTGAGCGGTGGGGACCACAGAAAGTTCCGGGGGGCAACACTGTTGGCAGGTCATGGGTGGGACTCATGGGGACTCACTGAGTTGTGGGGGGATGTCCTTAGTGCTGCCACCTGGAGTGAGAGCCGCTCCTTGGTTCCTGGAGGGGACCCACCAAGGGACACAGGACAGGAAGCCCAGGATGGTTAATGCAACTCGGGATGAAGGCCAGGGAGAAGCGGGTGCTCTGCAGTGGCCGGGAAAGGTCCAGACGCTGAGGCCGAGGCGCTTCCTGTTACGTGCGGGCGTTCCGCTGTGTCTCTGCCAGGCACTCTCTGACTAGGGCCCGAGCATGGATGATACCTCTCTTCAGGCGCTCCATGGCGCTCTTGCTGCCAGCATAGGTGGGCCGGATCTCTTTGCCCATCTCCTCTATGACTGACAGCAGGTCCGTGTAGGTGCTCTGGGAGCCCTGGGCGCCGGGTGGCTTCATCGCCTGCACGTAGCCTGCACGTAGCCCATGGAAGGCGGTCCAAAGTCGTTAAACAGCGGTCTAAAAGGAGCGGCGGCTCCTGGCACTGAGCCCGACGGCGACAGGACGCTTCCTGTAGGGATCGGGGTGCCCGGCCCAGGGGTACTGGAGCCAGGGGTGCTGCTGGGGGCAGGAGCGATGGGTTTGTAGGACATCCCCAACTCCTGGGCGCGGCGGACGCCAGCCGGCCGCTCCTCCGGGATTGGCTGCGGGGCCGCTCAGCCGCGCTCTGATTACTTTTCAATTTTTATATTCTGAACTTTTAAATATATTTTTAACAGTAAACATGTTTGTCCTTTTAATATAAAAATAAGTATTTCAACACTATCACAAAAACAGAAAAATCTCACCACTCAGAAAGAACCACTCTTAGTATTTTGTCACATTTCTTTCCAACCTGACATTATGCCTTATTTGTTTCCAAAATTGTCTGATTTCTGCTTTCATTTCATTTGACAGTATGGCATAAATGTTTTCTTGTGTCATTAAAAACTGTTCATTAATTTGTTTTAATAGTTGTGAAGAATTACATTGTTTGGACATACTATAATTACTTTAGCTTAATATTCTATGTTGGTTTATTTCCCTTTATTATAATAACTAAAGCACTATTAGACATAATTATGCATTAATATTTGTCTGTATTTTGGATTAGGTCCTTAGGATAGTTCCATAAAACTTAAATTACTGGGTTAAATAATATGAACTTTTTTTTTTTTGAGATGGAGTCTCGCTCTGTTGCCCAGGCTGGAGTGCAATGGTGTGATGTTGGCTCTCTGCAACCTCTGCCTTCCAGGTTCAAGTGATTCTCCTGCCTCAGCCTCCCAAGAAGCTGAGACTACAGGTGCACCACCACACCTGGCTAGTTTTTGTATTTTTTAGTAGAGATGGGATTTCTCCATGTTGGGCATGCTGGTCTTGAACTCCTGACCTCAATTGATTCACCCACTTTGGCCTCTCAAAGTGCTGGGATTACAGGTGTGAGCCACCGTGTCTGGCCTAATATGAACATTTTTAAAAGCTCTCCAAAAATAATACCAAATTACTTTTCAGAAATATACTAATTTATACCCCCACTAATTTTTTTCAGAGACAAGATCTCACTATGTTGCCCAGGCTGGAGTGGAGTGGCTATTCACACACAAGATCACAGCATACTGCATCCCTGAATTCCTGGGCTCAAGTAATCCTCCTGCTCAAGTAGCTGGAACTACAAGGTATGCCACTGTGTCCCACTAATTTCATTATTTCTTCCAGTAGTGTGTGAAAGTGCTTTATCACAAAACCATCATGCATATGTTTCTAATAGATTAGGTAAAATCGCTATTGTCTATTTTTAGTTGAAGTTCTTTGATTTAGTGAAATTAAACATGTTACTTTTTCATTAGCCATTTATGTTTTATCTCCCGTGAATCATCTAATTACTTATGTCTTTTATTCATTTATATACTGGAGTTTTTGTATTTTTCTTATCAATTTGTATGAACTATTTATATATTAAGACTGTAGCCACCTTTCTGTAATATTTGTTGCAGGTAATTTTTCCAATTTTGTTCTTTTTAAAATTTGATTTATGTTGTTAATGATGAAGAGTTTATAAAATTCAATCCTATCTATTGTTTTATTTTATAATTTATTTCCCATTGTTCCTAAACTTAGAAAGTGACCCCTCATCCTGAAATTTATTACATAATCAACCTTTTTTCTACTATTTTAAATTTTTATAATTAGATTTTTTGTATTAAGAAAATTTAACTACTTTTTATCCAGCTGGAATTTATATGATATGAGAGGATTGTTTGTGAAATAGCCAAGCAGTTGTTCCAACATTATTTATTAAATATCTTTACTTTCACAATTGTTGCATTATACTCTCTTTGCCATCTATTAAAGTGTTATACTAAGGTCTGTTTCTTCACTGTCTATTCTGTTCCATTGATCTGGTGCCAATATTATTTTAATTTAATCATTGTAGGTTACATTAAATTTTAATATCTGAGAAGGCTAGCTTTCACACATAAGATTTTTTTCTCTTTTTCATTTTTAAGCCATTATCTCCTATTTGTTTTTTCAGAGAAACTTCAGAAAAATTTTGTCATGTTTTTCTTCTCCACTCTCATATTTTACATTGAGGATATTGACTGCAATTGTTGTGCTGTGTATGTTATGTTTCTTTCTTTTTTCTTTACAGATGGGGTCTTGCTGTGTTGCCCAGGCTCATTTCAAATTCCTGGCCTCAAGTGATCCTCCCACCTGGGCCTCTCAAAGTGCCGGGATTACAGGCATGAGCCACTGCACTCAACCTATCATGTTTCTATTTATTTATTTATTTAACTTTTATACTACTTAGTGACTACTATCATGTTTCTTTTTTTAAAAAAATGTTATTTTAAGTTTAGGGGTACATGTGCAGTTGTGTTATATAGGTAAACTTGTGTCATAGGGATTTATTGTACAGATTATTTAATCACCCAGGTATTAAGCCTAGTATTCATTAGTTATTTTTTTCTGATCCTCTCCCTCTTTCCACCTTCCACCCTCCAGTAGGCCCTAGCATTTGTTGTTCCCCTCTATGTGTCCATGAGTTCTCATCATTTAACTCCCATTCATAAGTAAGAACATGCGGTATTTGGGTTTCTCTTCCTGTACTAGTTTGTTAAGGAAAATGGCTTCCAGCTTCATCCATGTTCTTGCAAAGGACATGATCTTGTTCTCTTTTATGGCTGCATAGTATTCCATGGTATGTATCTACCACATTTTCTTTATCCAGTCTACTATTGATGAGCTTTTAGGTTGATTCACTCTCTTTGCTATTGTGAATAGTGCTTCAATAAACATATATGTATATGTGTCTTTATGATAGAACAATTTATATTCTTTTGGGTATATTTGTTGTAAGGATTGCTGGGCCAAATGTTATGTCTGTATTTAGGTCTTTGAGTAATTGCCATACTGCTTTCCACAATGGCTGAACTAATTTTTATTCCCACCAACAGTATATAAACATTCCTTTTTCTCTGCAACCTCTCCCACACCAGTTATTTTTCAGTAATAGCCATTCTGCCTGGTGCAAGATGGTATCACATTGTGGTTTTGATTTGCATTTCTCTAATTGTCAGTGATATTGAGCTTTTCTTCATTTGCCTGTTGGCCACATGTCTGTATTCTTTTGAAAAGTGCCTATTCTTGTCCTTTGCTTAGTTTTCAATGTTTTTTTTCTTGTAATTTTGTTTAAGTTCGCTGTAGATGCTGGGTATTAGACCTTTGTTGGATGTGTATTTGCAAAAATTTTCTTCCATTCTGTAGGCTGTCTCTTTATTCCGTTGATAGTTTCTTTTGCTGTGCAGAGCTCTTTAGTTTAATTGGTTCCCATTTGTCAATTTTTGCTTTTGTTGCAATTGCTTTTGGCATCCTCATCACCAAATATTTGCCCATTCCTATGTCCAGCATGTTATTGCCTAGGTTGTCTTCCAGGGTTTTCAGTTTTGGGTTTTATATTTAAGTCAAGGAAGTGGTCCAGTTTCAATCATCTACATATGACTAGACAGTTATCTCAGCATCATTTATTGAATAGGGAGTTCTATCTTGGTTTTTCCTGTTCTTGTTAGCTTTGTCAAAGATCAGATAATTGTGGGTGTGTGTCATTACTTCTGGGCTCTCTATTCTGTTCCATTCATCTATGTATCTGTTCTTGCACCAGTACCATACTGTTTTGATTACTGTAACCCTGTAATATAAAGTTGTGTAACATGATGCCTCCAGCTTTGTTCTTTTTGGTTAGAATTGCCTTTGATGTTTGGGCTCTTTTTTGGTTCCACATGAATTAAATTTTTTTTTTTTCTAGTTCTATGCAGAATATCATTGGTGGTTTAAGAACTTGGCCAGACATGGTGGCTCACGCCTGTAAACTCAGCACTTTGGTAGGTCAAGGCAGGCGGATCACCTGAGGTCAGGAGTTTGAGACCAGCCTGACTAACGTGGAGAAACCCTGTCTCTACTAAAAATATAAAAATTAGCCGGGGGGTGGTGGCACATGCCTGTAATCCCAGCTACTCAGGAAGCTGAAGCAGGAGAATCGCTAGAACCTGGGAGGCAGAGGTTGCGGTGAGCCGAGATTGCATCATTGCACTCCAGCCTGGGCAACAAGAGCGAAACTCCATTAAAAAAAAAAAAAAAAAAAAGAACTTCTTGATTGTTGACCTACTTTTATTCTTTACTCAAAAGTCATTCAGTGTTTTGTTCACAATAGCAAAGACTTGGAACCAACCCAAATGTCCATCAAAGATAGACTGGATTAAGAAAATGTGGCACATATACACCATGGAATACTATGCAGCCATAAAAAAGGATGAGTTCATGTTCTTTGTAGGGACATGGATGAAGCTGGAAACCATCATTCTCAGCAAACTATTGCAAGGACAAAAAACCAAACACCGCATGTTCTCATGCATAGGTGGGAATTGAACAATGAGAACACTTAACACAGGAAGGGGAACATCACACACCGGGGCCTGTCGTGGGGTGGAGGGAGGCGGGAGGGATAGCACTGGGAGATATACCTAATGTAAATGACGAGTTAATGGGTGCAGCACACCAACATTTCACATGTATACATATGTAACAAACCTGCACGTTGTGCACATGTACCCTAGAACTTAAAGTATAATAAAAACAAACAAACAAACAAAAATCATTCAGTGTTTTATATCCAATCATGTGATCTGTTTTTGAATATATGCCATGTGGCAATGAGAAGAATGTATATTCTGTTGTTTTTGGGTGGACACTTCTTTAGGTGTCTGTCAGATCCATTTGATCCGGTGCTGAGTTCAGGTCCTGAATATCTTTGTTAATTTTCTGCCTTAGTCTGTCTAATACTGTAAGTGGGGGCATTGAAGCCTCCCACTATTATTTTATGCGAATCTAAGTCTCTTTGCAGATCTCTAAAAACTTATTCTATGAATCTGGGTGCTCCTGTGTTGGGTGCATAGAGATTTAGGATAGTAGGATCTTGTTGTTGAATTGAACCCTTTATAGGTAATGCCCTTCTTTGTCTTTTTAGATCTTTGTTGGTTTAAGCTCTGTTTTGTCTGAAATTGAGAGTGCAACCCCTGCTTTTTTCTGTTTTCCACTTGCTTTATTTATTTATTTACATTTTTTCCACTCAGTGGCTACTGTCATGTTTCTTGATTCACTTAATTACACATTTATATGTTTTAGTGAAGTTTT